GATTCCACTTTCACTCACCTAACATGTTTCTACTGAAGCACATTTCCTAAACTTGTCATCTAAACGACAAAACTTACCCCGGCACCAGTATGGCGCACTTTCCAAATAATCTAAGAATAATAATATTAAAAAATAATGGAATAAAAAAAATCCCATTATACAAAGGAAATTTAAAATCATCTATGTGGTGAAATAACATTTACGTAAGGAGTCTCCGGTGTAACAGTAAGTTTTACACCGGGGATGTTCCACAACATTAAATGTAACTATAAATGGATAAAAAGTATGACCTATTATTCATTAATAATAAAAATCAATAATCAATAGCAGATTACTGTTGTGTCATAAGAGGAATAAAACACTTTGGGACATGCTGTTATAGGAAAATAATCAACTCTGAGGTGGTAGTTTGAGTGGTACCACACTGCCGTTTATTATTTTCCCACAACAGCATGACACAAAGTGTTTTATTCCTTAAATACTTCATGTTTGTCTGTTGAGTCTGTTCCGCTCATTTAGTGACAAAGTCTTTGGTTTAAGTGGGAAAATGTTACTTTGATGCTATGTTAAAAATGTTACCCATTAAAAAAAATTAAAAATCACATTATCAAGCAACTTTAGTGAATTTTCTCCTTTCGTAGTTCATGTGATATGAACACATTCACTGTCTGTGGCAGTATAAAATTAGAAGCGAATTAATATTTAAATATGCAAATGTGAATGCAATTTGTAAACACCATAATGCACACATGTTCCACTCTCACACAGCATAGAGTCCAACTCACACCTAAATCCACACACAGTAATCTTTCCTCACACTCTGCTCCACCCAAACAATAACCTTTACTCACACACATTCACTAAAATCCTTCAAAATCATGCTCACTTAGCTCTGCACACAGCCAAATCTTGGCTCAGGTATTTTCACAGTTAGCTAGAAACAGCTTCAATCACACACTCACCTGGTTTCACACACTGTTGAACACTCATTCAGTCTCTCTCTTCTCCGTCACTCGCTCTTTCTCTTGCAACACACTTCACATTTGTTTAACCCCAGATTTTTCACTCGTAGTTTCACGCTATTTCAGCAAACTTTAACAGACTACTTCAGCAACTTGAAAGTAGAAATGAAACTGCTAACGATCTCATACATCCAGCCAACATCAACTTTCCAACTGCTGTATAAATGCTGAGTTCTTTCACGCTGTTGTTTTGTCTTGCCACAAAGCCAGCCCACCTGCTGCCAGACAGGTAAAAGGAGGAAGTGAAAGCTATGTGGGAGCCAATAGGATTTAACAGTGGCGGATAGCACCAAACTTTCCACCAATCAACAAGAGATCCTGGAGAAGCTTGAGGAATGTGGCAGAAGCGTGAATGCAGGTAGTGTGTGTGTGTAAACCTGCTCATTCTGTGTCAGACAGACACAGCTACAAGAAATACGACCTTTTTTTTTTTTTTAGCCCACCACAATGGCTGAAAGGTCTTTGTGAGGTCAAAGAAGAGGTTGTGGCTTGTTAAACTTGTTAAAGAATTAAAGCATAGTCTCAAGTTAATCTCCTGTAAATGAAAAAGGTTATGAACTAAACCAAGCTGTTTATTTTGTAGTAAATAGACACTAGAAACTAGTTGAAGTAGAAAGACCTGTTTAAAGACTAGCTGACAATAAGCACTTTTAGATTGGTGAGTAAAGGCTTGTATTTTTCCTAAATTCTGATATTTGGCTTAGATCAGATCCAATATTTCTGCTTTGATGGCTTACATTCATGTATGTAAGTGACATATCTGAGCACCTAAAATAACCTACAGGCACACTTTTTCCAGATCAATAAATAAAATCATGTGCACATGCAGCAACAACAACAACTACAACAAAAAACTGCAAGACCATTCGTCATTACAGAAGCAGACTGAACAAATTTGCAGAACAAGCTGCGATTGCAAGGATTACTTGCTTTTGTCAGCTTGCCAGCTTCTCGTGATCAGCACTAGATGTTTTACAACATTATCGTTTCTATAGTAACAGCTAATTCACAGTCACATGCATAGTGAATGCTTTAGAATTCATAATCTAAGCTTAATAATAAACAGACTAAAAACCATATTATTAAGGAAGAACATATCATTGTTGATAGTTTTTTTTTTTGTAAGGAGACATTTCTTTAACATTTATGGAAGGAGTCTCCAGTGTCAGTGCATTGTAACACTCAGAGGTAAAGCTGTAACTTTAGGATTTCCACCAGGAGTCTTCAGGACCAAAGATGTTAAGGATAAGGATAAACTTTATTTGTCCCCGAAAGGAAATTTGTCTTGGGCAAAGTGCTACAGTGTTGCTCTGAACATACAAAAATAATAAATAAAACAAATTAAATAAAACAATTAAGAACATACATTAAACTACAACAGTGTATAAATATAAAATGCAAGATATGTAAAGTGCAAAACACAGTAAAGTGCTAATATGCTATAGGTGCGTTACGCTTTACACTTTCTTTGTAACAAGCTGTAATTTTTTATCTGATTAACTTTGAGAGAAAGTGAAAAATGACACTTTATGGCTGCTATAAGTGATAACTAATTTGTTTCACAAACATTCCACAACATTAAATGTAACTATAAACGGATAAACAGTACGATGTGTCTTTCATTAACAAATAAACATTTTAATCATTCGCGAAGTGCTGTGATGTAAGAGGAACGAAACCCTTTGGGACACAGTTGGAAAATAATCTACTTTGTAGTGGTAACAGTAACTCCGCTTCACAACACACCACCATGTTGTTGATTATTTTCCTATAACAGCATGCCCTTCTTTGTTTTGTTGTTTTTTTCCTTTTGTAAAGTAGCCAATAACTCTTTTATATTAGTCTAAAATGTAATGATAGTGAAAGTAAGACAAAAAAAATTCAAAACAACGACAAAAAAAACAGTTTCATGAGCTCCACTGTTTTGTCCAGACTACATCACAACTGGTGAACTTCAGACTACTGAAGTTGAAACTACCAATTGAGTGGATTGTGTATATGGGATCTTTTTGTAAACATGGTGAACGCACAACCTAATTTGAATGTCACGTATGATTCGTCACTAAAGAATGTACAGTAGGTCATTCTCTGCTATCACAATGACAAATTAAATATAAAATGATTTTTATAAAGTATCTTTGCCTTCTGAAGGCAGTATAACGGCTGACTCTCAGCCTGACAGACTCTATTGTGTGGCGATGAAGAGCCCGGGTCGAGTGGGGAGGAGCGACTCACCTGCAGAACCAGAGATTCTTTGTCCCCCTCTAATCTTTCCAATCGCTCTTGATACGTCTCATTGTTTGAACAGGGCTGGCGGTTAACCTGCGACACACACACATAGGGGAATTAACACACACACACACACACACATAGGGGAAAAGCTGAGGTGAATGAACCAACCAGTTCCAGATAAAAGCTGAGAATCACCGGCATAATGCCAAAGAGTACATAAACTCCAACAAAGACAGCCTCAATTCAGTGTCATAAAGGTGTCGAATGACACACAAAGACATTAAAAGAAACGTAAAAAGGTCTTAATTACAGAGTAGGGTAATACAATATAAACATAAAACTAGCTCATTAGAGTATCACATTCAATAAGAAGCACATTTCCAAAAATGATGGGGGATTTTTTTTTTGTCTCATGATGAAGTATGAAAATTTGCACAATTATCTTGACTGAGAAGGCGAACACACAATATGCTAAAATTATTAAGTACTTGTTTTAAGCAGCTGGGAAACAGGGACCCAGAGAATAAGCTACTGACTTTTAGCCAGCTAGCACTACTTGTCAAGTCTTTAATACAGATTATCTAAAGGCGTAGTGACAGTGTAAATGAGTGGAAAATGTCAGGAAGGTCAACATTTTCCTCAGATGTGTTAGTAAATTAGCAGGAAAAGACTCACTGTGACTAAAATTACACCTGATTTACACTTAGCATCAACCACTAACTGAATCTCCATGGGTGCTGCCATGTTGAAAAACCAACACTGCAACACAACTTGTAAACTCTGTTCTACTATCAAAATATTTGGGCTTCTACAGTAGTACATATCACACGAATAGTCCATATGGATTTTTTCTCATACATACATGATTTGAACATAGCTCCTAATCCACCACTGAAGAATATAAATCTTTCTTCAGATCTTCAGCTTTTACCAGCTCTAACCATGTGTTATTAGCAACTTTCTGAGTCATCAGTGACATCCATATTGTGACGCTTATTAGCTAAGCCAGTAAATACTGCTGCTGTCGTAGGAGATTAGTAAGCCATCAGTGCCTGTCAGCGCTAAGCTAGCTGAGCTAGCACCATGAGAGCAGAGCTAGCACTTGATTCACATATAATCTTTATAAAAATGCTACTGAGCTGGGGCCTGTCAGCTGTCTTGAACATAAGTAAAATTTTCCAAAATCCTCTGTAAGGGATGTATTTATGTATTTAAAACACTTTTTTAAAACGTATCCAAAGCACTTTTGAGTTTAGGGCCGCCATCCTCCACTAGAAATGAAAAGCCTTCCATTTCTGCTGCCGCAATAGCATGAAGTAAAGTGAAATTCCTCTACTAGATAAGCACTCACGCCTTTGCTGGTAGAGGTTTTACCAGTTTTAACTGTGTCTTAGTCACTAAGTATGTATTTTATGATATATGCATTGGTGTTTAAATGACCTCTTTTCCCGGCAACCGTGGTCCAAAAAATAAAAACGAGCAGTCATGCTCTTGTCAGTGGTAAGCTAGCAAAAGGTAGCACTAAGCTACAAGAGCTAGCGCCTATAAAAATCTGCTGCTGCATTGGGACTTGGCAGATCTCTCAGGCTACAATGCAGACCTCCATTCTCACAGAGAACTGCTGTCTGATTCTTTGGTCTTGGCTTGGCTTGCACAATGATCATCTTCATTTTGACTGCATTGTATTTGAACATATTTGAACTCCACTGAGAAAGCCCTGATGGTTAGAGATTGGTCTGCAACAGACCTGGTGGTCTAGTGGCTAGGATTCAGTGCTCTAACCGCCACCGCCCGGGTTCGATTCCTGGTCACTGAATATGATTACTGGGCAGTGGTGAATCAGTGGTTAAGGCTCTGGGTTACTGATCAAATGATGCTGTATAATGGCTGACTCTTTGTTCTGAACCCCCTCCTTCTCAAACTCAAACACAATATCGAGGCAAGGTTTCATGCTAGGACCAAATCTTTGCAAAGACACACTGACTATGTTTATATGCACATCAGGTTCCATTTAAGGTCTATATTCAGGTTGTAGCCATATTCTGAATACGATGTTTACATGCGTACAGGCATTGGAATATTCCTGTATACATGGTTGTTGTAAGTATGCCTGAGTTGCCATTCCTAAATACCTAGCCTACAGCTAAGAACCTGTTAGCACCCACAATTCCTTTCAGACTGAGCATGCACATATATCTCCTTTCAGTGGATTTTCTGAATAAGGTGTTTATATGCAACAAATTTCCCATTAAAACAGGAAAGGAATCCAGGGGTGAGAATCACAATTTGGGAAATCAGAATATTGTCTTAATCTGAATTGGGCAATCGGATTGCGCCATTTACATGACTCAATACTAACTAGAATATTGCCAAATTCTGATTAATATCTGAATACTGATGCACATGTAAATGTAGCCACTCAAAGTCTGGGTTATTTATGAGGAGTGTGCTAATTGGGAACAGCTGGTTGTGACAGGAAGTCTGGGGGAACTATAACAAGTTAGCTGATCATATGACAGGTCATGTGACTGTCTGACTAAGGCTTCTGGAAAATGGAGTTTATTTTGGTGCGTGGCCCATTAAAGGAACCTTCAGTAAAATGTTACCATTGTGGGAATTTAACAAATTGCCTTGAGGGAGCAGAGGATAGGAAAAAAAAAAAAACATACTCTCATTAAGTCTTTAGAATTACCAAACATGTTGTTACTTAGTTGAGATATAAAATATCTCTGGATATGTTTTCTCAGTTTTATAAGCTCAGTTTTGCATACTTCATGCAGATTTGTGAAGGACTAAGACATAAGAAGTTGACCTTTGACCTAAGAAACCATTTCCTGCCGCTTGCACAATGTAGGCACTGGAGTCAGAATGTAGTTTATTGTCTACCAAGACCGAGTGAGAGAGATGTGTGTGTGTGTGTGTGTGTGTGTGTGTGTGTGTATAAGAGAGAAAGATGTTTCCTTTGAGGCATCACTTACAGGCCCTGGAATTTCCCCCAAAACTCAATTCAGGACATTATTATTATGGCACTGTCCAAGAATGCATGACAGAGCCGATGGTGTACGCTGTAATGAACCCCTCCCTGCTATGACAACCATGCAGCTCCTTTACACACCACTCACAAGCCAGGGTTTACAGCCTGGTGACTGTTATTCAACATATAATTACTGATTGTTTCCACAAGAACGTAATGCTTAGGTGCTATGTGTTGTGCTCATGTGGGTGTAACAGTGCACCCTGCTGCCAGATCTCATTATATCCCCGTTTCCTCTGAACCACTAAACCATATAAATTCAACAACCACAACGAAGAATGTGAAAGCCTAAAAAAAAAAGTGCTATCTGTTGACACCAGAGCTGTAATGGAAGAGTTATTTAGTTTTGCACTGGAGTTACACTGGATTTTAATGTAGCCAACAAGTAATGGAAGACTATTTCACCTAAAAACTTTCTCAAACCACATCCAATTATTCACAGACATGCTGATGTAGACTATGAAACAGTATGACTAACTGTAATCTATAAACATGAACAAGACTCTACTGTGTAGCTGAACACTGGAATGTTATAGGATAGCCATATTCGACAACTGGAATCACTTTTTTTCTTATTGCAGTTTGGTACCATTCCACCCCATAGGCCACGCTACGCAAAGTTTGAAGGTGCAATTGTACCCAAAAGCTGAATTTTCACTTTGACTTAACACTGTTTATACCACAGCCCTATTTTCTGATTGGCCAGACTGAAAGTGCTGTATTGACTTTACCATAGTGTGGTTGAATCTGATTGGTCAGTAGGTGTGCATTATTTTTGTATAACCACATGGCTTGGACAGTAGTTCCGGCTGTAACATGAACATATTAATGCGCTCGTTCTGATACGTCTTTGTTTCTATAGTAACAGCTCATTCACAGGAACTTGTATGGCTCCACATAATTTGGGCCTAACAATAAATGGATTAAAAAACATGTTCTTGAACAAAGACAAAAACTATAATTGTTGCTACGGTGAGGTTTTCTGTAAGGAGAAGTTTATTTAACATTCATGGAAGGTGTCTCCAGGTCCAGTGTTAGCTTTTCAGCCACGTGAAAGTCATCAGAATGGATGGCTTTGTGCTTTCTGGTTTCTTGGTTAACATAACAAGCTGTTTTTTTTGTCTTATTTACTTCAAGAGAGAGAAAAACGAGTGTCTGTTGAAGGAACAATTTTTTTAGCTGAAAACAGGAGCTAACATTTTATGGACATTCTACAACATTAAACGTAACTATAAACGGATAAAAAGTATGAAATGTCAATCATTAATAGATTAACATAATTGTTGGGAAAATGTTGTGGTATAAAAGGATTAAAACCCTTAAGAACATGCTGTTATTGGAAAACAATCCACTTAGGAGTAGTAACAGTATCTCCATTTTGCGTATAGCCGCATTACACCACCCCATCATTGATTATTTTCATATAACAGCATGGCACCAAGTGTTTTATTATTCCTTAAATAAGACTATGTAGCATGATGCTGATGTTTGAAGCTGATATTTGTATAGGAAAATATTGCATGAGACTTACATTAGCTCTTATACAAAACAAAAGAGGCAAACCAAACATGTCGGGCACCAAACATGTCTTGGCTGATCGATTACGTTTGTATAAAAGTGCTCATAAAAGCACACACTCTCTGTAGCGTAATAAACCAGATTTGCAGTCTGCGTTTACTCCAATTTCTACTCTCTGGAGACGACTCAACAGGAAATGTTCTCTCAGGTCAACGGTCCAGATGACTTACTCTGTCAGTACTGTTTACAGCAGACTAAGTATGACCAGGCAACCTGAGCGCATAAAATAGGAACCATACAGCGTTTGCATGCCACATTCAAATGTGTTTCAGAGAGGTTTTAACCTCCTTCCCTATGCACATAAACAATAATAATGGCTAGCTCCTATTAAATGTAAAAAAAAAAAAAAAAAAAAAAAGCTTTATAAGTGTTTAACTAATAACATGGTGAAATTTTTAATTTAGAGTGATTTTAAACAGAAATGTTCAGCAAACAATTAAATGTGTACAATGCTTCCTCTTATCCTAAGTGTAGTCAGTCAGTTATAACAGTCTGGTATCTGCTGCTTTAGTTTAGCCCCGAAGCTATGAGGGTAATTTTGGCAGCAAGTAAAGGAAGCTCATAGCCAACATTGTGTGAAATTAATATCTCAAGCTGTTCGAGTTGTTCATCTCAATCAGACTTGTTTATGTCGACTGACAGTGTTATCTATAAAAATGGATAAAAGGACAGAAAATAGTTGCAGCGCCATTTTGAAGCTGAATCACTTTCTTCATTAGCACATAGACTACTTAAGTGATGTATGTTAGACGTGAATTAAATGAGAAGTAATTTTTTTATATGTATATATATGTAGACGGTGTGGACTCCTGAGTATCTTCATGGAGCTCGCTTTGTGCACATTGGTATTGTCCTGCTGGAACAAGTTTGGGCCCCTTACTTGCAATGAAGGGAAATTGTAATGCTACAGCATACGATGACTTTCTAGACAATTGTGTACTTCCAACTGTGTAGCAACATTTGGGGAAGAATCACATATACATGGTATGGTCAGGTGTCCAGAAACTTTTGGCCATATAGTGTTATATGTCACCAAGCTATGTCATCTGAGCTGAGAATTAAATAATTTAGGTGCAAAACTGGTAGCAAAAAAGTAATATATTTCTTAGCTACATTAGCCTTGATGATCCACTACCAAGCTTAAACAAAAACTCCATCCTGATGGACAATTTTCTACTGCAAATTTATTGGTTGGTGCAACTTTTTCATTATTTTGTTATGAGAAGCTAATGGTTTTGTGCCATACATCACAGGAAGACATTGCTAGCACAGTTACAATGATGTTTAATAGGAGAAAACTTTTTATGTTTATCTCAAATTTAACGCTCAGGTTTCGCTGTTAGCTCCTAAAAATAAAAAAGGCCAAGAGCTTCTTTTCTCACTCAACCTTTTCCAGTGGCATTCAACTCAATTCAAAAATGAGAAAGAAGTGTAGACAGTAAATATTGGACTCAAATTTCAAGAATATATGAGAGATCATGATCGTGATGGTGTTGATGGTGATATTAGCATGAGAGTTGAAGCTTTGGAAGCTGATCTGTTTGAGCAGAGTGTACAGATGAGGACGTAAGAGAGCTGGACAAACTAAAGGACTAAAGCCTCACTGCATCGCTCTCTTTAGGTGGAGATGAAATGAGGGATAAATCTCATGAATACCATTATGGGTAATGTAGGAAAAATTAGATCGATGTCAATAAAACTAAAAAAAAACATTTTTAGAATTTCATTACAAAGTAAGTATTGAATGGAATTCAAATAAATAAGTATCGCATGTTAATTATGACGATTTTTCCTTTAAGAAACACACGTTGATCACTTACTGTATATTTGTGATAATGAGAGAGTTATGTACCTTAATATTTTCAGATAAATTCTAAAAAAATCAGTATAGGATGAAATGTTTTGGTATGAAGAGCTGCTCTTTTGTTTTTGGGAATAATCACAAGACTGCAAGCCCGCAGGTCACAACAGTGCAGCACCTAACGCTGAACTATAATTAGGTTTCAGATGTTGCCTTTCATCACAGCTGTTTGGAGCCTGGTTGAGCCTTCAGGAAACCAGTCTGGTGTGCAAAGACTTGACGCTGAGTGTTAATCCGGATCACAATGTCTGCAGTGACACTCTCAAGGAGCTCCTTCATCTCGTGAAGCATGCAGTCATACAAGAACGACCAGTTACTTTTTTTCAGTTATTATAACAGTCAA